ATCTTGGTTTGGGCTTTAGACATTTGGACTTTATTTTGTTATGTGATTTATACTTTTTTGCCTTTTTGGACTATTTTGTTGTGTGGTTTACTGGTTTTTTATATTTTGGAAGTCAGTTTGTTGAAGACTTGGAGAGTTGGAGACTTGGATGTTATTATGGTTTATTTTATGGATATGGAATATGGAGAATATGAGAGTTGGAGACCTTACAAGAGCCTATTAGACTTTTAAATGTTTTGTATGGATTGAAATTTTGAATAAGTTTATTCTCAACCTGAGATATGTGATATGTTTGTATCTGAAAACGTATGTTGTGAACTTCTGATATTTTCAAAGGGAATAAATTACAAAATTTGACACAAATATCTGCATATATGAGAATTTGGATAACAAATATATAAAAAAATGCTAAGAATTTGCACCACAGGGTGCTCGAGGTTTTGGGCGCCCACCTAGGTGCTGGGCGCCAGGCAGGCCGCCTAGCGTTTTTTGAAACCTTGATGCAAAAGGTGATGCATAGCAAGCTATGAGGGAAAGGGTGACATCACGACAAAACCAATGCTACAATGAGACTGAATCTCTCACGGGGTTCAATAAAGTTTTATATGGAAACAAATGGGGGTGAAACCTTGGTTATCCCATGAACCATGTTCTCAATGCCAAAAGGCTATTTGATGAAGATAAGTAGTCGTAATAATATACCTTTCGGACTCACTTATATATTTAGCAGCGAGTTGTGTACAGTATTTGTTGATGGTGGAAGTAGCAAGAATATTGTGTCTAAGGAGATGGAAAAACTCAACTAAAGGAGCATAAGCACCACACCCATATCAAATTTAATGGTCCAAGAAAGGATGCAAACTACCAATTCTCACATGACGTTTTCTTTATCAAAAAAAAATTCTCACATGATGTTTAGTCTCTTTTTCTCATTATCAAAGTCTTTTTCCAACTATTTAGGGTCAGTGTTTAGTCTATTTTTCTACTTCTGCCAATTATAAAGATGAACGAGGTATAGTGCGACATAGCGTACATGGATACATGTCACATTTACCTTGGTAGACAGTGGGGCCACAAGACTAGGCCAAGTACTCCATCGAATACGGCATTAACATCACATTCCACTATGAAGCATCTTTCTACAACCATATCAACTAAGAGGCAGGTCAGGACTTACTCAATATGCAAAATTTCAAGAGGAAGGCATGGGTGTTAGTGTTTTTTATATTATGTGTTGTTTGATAAAGAAAAAACTACACCTACATCAATTCCTAAGTCTCTAGAGCCTCTACCTTGGAAGTACCATGACTTGCTACTAGAAGAATTGCCTAATGGACTTCACCTACTGAGGAATATTCACCATCACATTGACTCGGTGCTACCACATTTTGCCCTTCACTCAATGCGCCCCATTGACCACAAGGAATCGCATAGACAAGTTTCCGATTTGCTCAAAAAATGAATGATTTGGGAAAGCATGTCGTTGTTTGCCATTCGTGCCTTACTAACTCCCAAGAAGGGTGGGTTATAAAGGATGTGTGCAGCTAATTGTACAATTAATGAGATAAGTATCAAATACCAATTTCCCATACCAAACTTGACGACATGTTAGGCATAGTTCACAAGACCAAAGTTTCCTCAAAGAACGATACGGGAAGTGGTGGTCTGAAATCCTCTTGGGAGTGAATGAAATCTCAAGATGGATTGTACAAGTGGTTGGTAATGCCCTTCGGGCTTTCTAAGTCACAAAGCACCTTCTTGCTCTTAACAACTAAGGTTCTTAGTTCTTTATTAGTAAATTGTGGTGGTTTATTTTGACGATAACTTGTTTTTTCAGTGCCAACTCAAAGGATAATCTTAACCGCTTGAAACAAGTTTTTGATGTGTTACAGAAGGAATTACTTTTCATGAATTTTAAAAGAATGCTCCTTTAGATGGACAATCTCAAAAAGTGCTTCCTTTAGGACGGACAATCTCATCTTTTTGGGGTATGTTGTCTCCTCTTAGGGCATTACAATGGACAGGGGGAAGGTGACGGCCATAGCCGAGTGGTTGTGCCAAAATCACACATTCAGGTTTGCTCTTTACATGGCCTAACAACCTTTTATCCATATTTTATCATAAATTTCAGTACACTAATAGCACCAGTGACCAATTTATATGAAAGTTGGAAAGTTTTTATTGAATCCTGTTGCAATAAGAGCTTTACTTTGATCAAACAAAAAATGATTGATGCAAGATAAGATGCCTTTTATTTTGAATTTTTCTTATTGAATTAAAAAGATGTATTTTTTCCATTTTCTAGGGTTATTTTAAAGGTTTAAAGTTTTTTGAGATTTTTAAGGATTTTTAGTTTTTTTTCTTTTTAGGATTTCAGGGGCTATTTGGAAAAGTAGTTAAGTGTGCTCATAGAATTATTTGTTTTATCATGGATGAAAATGTCATTACAAATTTTATTTTAGTTTCAACTTTTATTTCAATTAGAACTAGGATTTCCTAGGTTCTAAGTAAAGCCTTTTATTATGGAGTCTATTAGGGTTTTTCATTGAGAGTTGAGTTTTGAGACCTTATTTCTGCTTTAACAGGTGCAAAACTGTGAAGTCTGATTTGCAAGTTTCCTCTTTAATTTTCTATCGATATATTATATAATTTTCTTCAAAATTTTATATGATTTTCGTCTCTACATAAATTATTTTTACTTCACATGGTATCAAAGCAAGTCATCTCTCCCAAAGCACCAACGATCTTGAGCATGATGGCAGCTACAAGAAGACGTGGTGGTCGTGCCCCGGTGGTGAAGTTGTACCAACACAGGGAGATTATGAAAATACAATGAGGAGATTCAAGGAATTGGCACAACATGTACCATGAAATCTGAACAATGTTTGGTTGTTCATGACATTGGCAGATATGAGTCCAATCGTCGTGGTGGGTCAAGTTCAATGTTCAAAAATTCGTCCCAGCACGGCCACCTAGGCTGTCGAGAAATAAAACACCTAATCACGTACTACGTGGGCTCCCTAGGCGAAGGGATTGCCTACAGGTGCCCGCCTAGGTACCCAAGGCGCTGCCTAGGCGCTCGCTTTGGGCAGGCGCCTAGGCCCTGATGCCTCGATGAAGGCTGGCCAAGAGTGGAAATAGGCCCTTGGCCAGAGGGTGTTTTGGGTATTTTCCTCCAAGAAAGGGGGGATAAGGGTTTTGGCGGGTAATTCTAGCCCCCAAAAACCCCTTTTGTGTGTTTTTGAGAGAGAAAAACACTCCAAAAACTTAGTTTTTGAAATTTTTCTCAAGATCCAACAAAATTCAATATTTTTTTTTCTTGCAAAATCGAAAGATACACTTCTCGAACTTTTGGAGCTTTTATTGGTAGCAAAAGATAACTTTTGGCAACCAAAGGTCACCAATTTGGGCTCAATTCGATTTCAATTTGAAAAGGTAAGTGCATCACAATATTTGAATGAGGGTTTGGACCGTTTCATATATTTTATCTAAAATGTGTTATGATTTGTTATTCTTTCATTTTTGTTTTTGTTTTGTGACATTTTTACATGCTTGTAGTTGGATTATTCTCCCATTTTCACTAGCAGGTTTTGGTTAGGATTCTTTTGAAATTTTCTTTAGAATGGGAATTCCAATCATAGGAAAGGCTGAAAAAGACTGGGAGCATGCAGGTTATACCGCCTTCAAACTCGTAAGGGACATATCATCAATATCTAGTGAAATGGAAGGGAAGTACATATCCTGACAGCATGCAAGTTATACCGCCTCTAAGTTGAATACAACTAGCCAGAATCAAATTATTCTCAACGAAGGGTGAATATGCAACCATGCCCCAGCGACAACACATTGTTCATGGCAGGGGCAAAGAAAGTCATAGGACCATGGGGGATAAAAGAGGCAAGTAGTGTATTGGGGATGTTAGTTTAGGTTTTTCTATTTGAGTTGTTAATTTTGGTTTTTGTTAAGGGGATTAATCTTTTAGTTTATATTAATAAGGGATGGCTAGGTTAAAAGAGAGCGTACAGCTAAGATTTTGGAGGAGCTTTTTAGGGTTAGGGGTGTGCTTGAAAGGTTTATGGGGCTGCTATGCTACTTTTTGTTTGAGAAATTTGGAGTAGTGGCGAGCCCCTATCCGTGGACCCTCGCCCATTATTTCGAAGAAATAGCCTAGCTTTGCTTGGGGATCTCTCTCTTGGAATCATGTTTGGCGAGAGAGCAATTCTCTTGCGGATGCCTTGGCCAATGAGGGAGCCGCCAATCCCTGTGCCCGAGTAGTAAAAAATATTTCCTAATTGCACCCTCTACAAAAAAAAATAATGTCTCGAGATTGAATAAGGACCCGACGAATTTTAGAGGGTGAGATCTAAGTGTTGAAAAACTCGAACTTCAATTTTTTTTCTTTTGAGTATAATCATCTAGCAATTCTTAGGTGGTTCCCAAAATTTCAAATTGAAAAATTTCCTCCCAAGTAGGTCTTCTAACCAAAGGAGTAAATCTAAACTATGTTCCTGCAGGAGTATAGTATTGCACCCAAAAGAAAAACTAACAGGAGATGAGCTAATTCCCGGAGGAGTCTTTGTAAACAAAACTATACCAGAAGGAAATTAACCCCTGTAAAGATTAAAAAGCACAAAAATTGTAACAAATACATGATATTTTTTGGTTGAGATATGAATCCAATTATCAACATTTCCAATTCATAAAACAATAATACACTACTCCAATGCAGCTCTTTAGATAGGATTTCGATAACCCCTAAGCAAATAGATTCAAGGTAGGTATGAAGAAATCCAGTGTCTCTCAAAATTATCAAATATAAACAATACCTTGTTAATTCGGGTTAATTTCAACAATTAATCACTGAGTCGTGCTATAATGAAATAAACAGTACCAGATTTTGTTTATCTTTGAAATTTAAGATATAAAGAAGATATCGAGAGAGAGATAAATAACGAAAGTAAAGCGGATTAGGAGAGAGAAAGAAAGAGAAAAATTCTTACGGTCTCGTCCTCCACGGACACCTCCTCTTGAAGGGTGATACATCGATGCCTTTCAAATGCTTGTGATTTTTCTTACTCGCCAGAAAACCAAAAGGGGTTTTGCTTGCTGTTTCGTTGCCCCAATCTCAGGCACATGTAACCAAAAAACGGCATAAAAGCTCTAGAGCATGCCACTGACGTGCGAAAATTATAGTGTGTGATCCATATAACAATGGTCTTTGACGGTATCAAAAGACGTTCTTGACGAAAAAAGATTTTATTTGGGAAAATTGTTTCATGCGGGCAGGACCGCTTTTTTACGCGGTCCGAAATGTTGAAATATCTTAACATCTAAAAACAAAAAACAATGAAAACTAAATGTCCAAATGTTTTTTAATTAGAACTATTATTTTTAATTTTAAATTTTCATTTATTTTTTCATATTCATTTTTAATTTTTAAATTTTATTTATTTTTTCATATTCATGATCTCCATGTCAAAGATTGTATGTCTTTAAAACTTAAATCTTAAAATCGATCTCAAAAATAGATTTATTAAGAGGCCTACATTTTTACATATTGAGCTTCCGCATAAAAATTGGGTCCATAATCCTCTTGCCTTTTTGTTTTTTGGGGCACAAATGTGGTTGTAACTTACAAGCTGTGTTTTTTCTTTTTTATTATTAATGAAAAAACAAGTAGAGGGCCATTTTTTTATTTATTAATGAAAAATAAACAAGAGGACATTCTTCCCCACTAACTTACCTAAAAAACGAAGTTGTTGACATATGATTCATCAAGGTTGTTGACATATATGATTCATAAGTGACATGTTGGTGGGGCGATTTCCACACCACCCATGCAAGACAGTGATAAGTATAGTAAAAATCGACCGATTAGAACCGGAGCCGGTAGTGTCCCGACTCCAGTTAACCTCGGTTTTGGGGTATGGAGTAGACACCCCCTTATTGTCCGGACCAAAACCATCAGTTAGTACACGAACTAGCCGGATTTCTAATTAATCGATCGTTTTTTTGCTAACCAAACTGGTTGGGCGATATATCGGGTGTTATTTCCCATTGTTGACTGTTATATTAGCATAAACCCCTGATTCAATTCTTTTTGCTTTTTCATGTCTTTTTCTGCCTTTTTTTGGAATTTTTAGTGCATTATTGATGTAAATCATATGATTTTGTCTATAAAACAACGAATTTGGAATCAAACATCCAAAAAGAAAGAGTTTCAATGGATTAAAATGATGGATTTTCATGGGTTTTGAAATTTCCACCATTTTTGCATTTACTTCTTTAATACCAAATGAATGAAATTAGGGGCTTTTGATAGAAAATCGAAGAACTTACCAGATCTTTGCTTCAATTTGTTCAATCTACAAAAGACTGTGGGTCGATTTTGGCTCGAAACGCTGCTACTCAAAAAACCTTAGTTCGATTCAAAAAAGCATATATTTTTATTAATTTATTGCTCTTTTTTTATCAAATTGAGTAGTGGATTTTGATCACCAAGGCTTCTCTCAGTTTATTTATGATTGAGTCAATTTTTTATATGAAGTTTTCTATTGCTTGATTTCATGAAAATTTCAAAGATTTGAAATTTTTGCTATTTTTTCAATTACATAAAAAATACCTAATATTTTGTTTTTAGATTTGGGGCATTTGAAAGATTATTGACGCTTTTATGAATAGGGGAAGTGTTTTTATGTATAGGGGAAGTGTTTTCTATTTTGCTTAATACAATTATGTTTTTTAATAAAATTATGTTGATGAATATGACTAAATAATCGATTCTTCTTTTTTTACTAGTCATTATGCTAATTCTTGTTACTTGGATTTTGTAACTCCATTAATTGAATTAATGTCAAATTCTAAATTGTCTTCCATATTTTCATAGAATTCATATATTATTTTATATAAAAAGTTGTTTCAAGTTTTTTTTTTTTTAAGATTAATGGTGCAACCAACCCATTTATTGTGGAATTCAAATAGAGTTTGTAAAGTTTTGAAATTGGCCCTCTATAAATAGGGGCTCAATTCATTTAGCTCCTATGTCAACCAGAATATCACGGTGATATGATTTATAACCTTGAAAATTAAATTCACCCAAAACAAACAAATATTTTTTCCTGTTTTGTTTATGAGAAAAGATTATTTTTTCTCCATCTTGAAATTCGATTTTCGAAAACAAAACCGTGTTCTGAAGTTCTTCTTTTTCTTCTCCTTTTGTATTACTGGTGTTTCCAGTTTCAAAAGTTCTAGACAGTCCAGGAAAAGTATTGGTTATGAGAAAATATTATTTCTTCCAAAATCGTGTTCTGAAGTTCTTCCTTTTCTTCTTCTTTTGTATTACTGGTGTTTCTAGTTTCAAAAGTGTCAGACAGTCCAAGAAAAATTGGTATTGAAATGTTTTTTAGACCGATTGGTTTTCTATCTAAAGATAAATCTTTTGGTTCAAAAAATCTTGGTGCGAGACTATTTGGTACTGACTAACTCAAACTTTGGTTAAAGTTCTTTGGTTATAAAAATACTAGTTTTTCCCAGATGCTTGAAAAGTTATAGGTTGCAAATCTTGGTTGTAATTTTCGGAAAAACTATCAACCAATCAATTTCTGGGAATTTCCAAATCCTTCCAGTTGATTAACAGGGGCTGGATTTCATTATCAAAATTTCGTAGTTCGAAAATTTCGACAAATCTGTTATCAATATAATTTGTTATAGTTCTAATTTCGCTTGTAAGTTCGTGCATGGGTTTCCACTCAATTGCAAGGATGAAACGGTTGTTCTTCATACCAATGTTTTTGGTCTGAATCAAATTATCACACTATCCGGGATGTTTTTATCATGGATAGAAATGAAATGAAACTGATGAGTTATCTTGGAGACATTTATTGTGGTCGGTGAGGTGTCAATGCTGAGGTGGCAGTGATGACATCATTGCTTACATCGTCGCTTACGTCACTGATGATGTCGTTTTTTGCGTCATCCTTGCATCATCGGGACACATGTGCTAGATAATTTTGCAGTCGGGCTATCCCATAAAATAATATGTAGTAAGATAGTATATACTTTAATCTATGTTTTTCTTTTCTTTTTTTAACTTTTTTATTTGGGGGAAGGGTTTGACCCATTAAAAAAACAAAATCTTACTGGACCAAGCCGGTCCGGTTAATCGCCTGGTTAGCCTGGTTCTGGTTCTAACCACTCTCAGCCCTATGTCTGATTAACCGTTCTGGTTCGATTTTGCAAACATTGGCAATGATAACATATAAAAGGGGAACCATCATAATTATACAAATACATCAATATGGTCATTGGTTTTAAACTGGAATTCTATATAGAATCGATAGGGTTTAAACCATAATTATTAAGACCAGAATGAACTTATGGTTTGACTAGTCGAATAGCCAACCAATACCTTGGTCGGTCTTATCCAACATAAAAAATAGATTTGATCAAAAATAGGTCAAAATCAAGGTTTAGCCAGTTTTGGCCAATCCAACGAACTGGTTTAATCGGTTCGACCAACTAATGAAGTTAGAGAAATTATTGTAATGTATTTTATATTTTTAAACTATTTTAAAATCCCATCTAACTAGTTCAACCAGTTGTTGGGCCAATTCTAAATGGACCAAACCCCTCACCAGTTTGGTGTCTAGCCTGATCCTACTAACATTAGTTTAAACTACATGGCATGTCATCATTACCATAAAGATACATCAATATGGTCTCTAGCTTTAAATTGTAATTCTACTAGTGGCTTTATATTTGTTGCACATATACATATAGAAGAAAGCATGCTTACTTCTAAATTTTAAATAAAGATGCATGTTTATTTAAAGAGAATTACAAAATGAGAATATTAGAGTAGAATATTCAAAAGTATTAATAAAGATAGGGCCCAATTCATTTAGGAATTAATGTCTTCATACACAAATATTATAGGGAGAATTACAAAAAAACCCCAAAAGGAGACTTTCTAGACAACCTACCCCCAACCAAGTTTTTTTTTATCAACTTTTACCTCAAATTGAACTTTCCTAGCAAATATCCCCCAAGTCAAAAAGTTATATTTTTTGACGAAAAAGGCCATAGTGCCTGACCGCCCCCATTTTGTGTCGGAGCATGCCTGAAATACCATACCGCCTCTATTTTTGTGACGACCCAAATTTTTTTTTTTTCCCAGCCAGTTAGAGTTCATGCCGGGATAAGGAGGGAGGAGGGATAATAGAGCGCATGACAGTGAAGAAACGCCGTGAGTGAACGAGAGGTAATGTCATGCGCGTCAAGAGAAGGAGCGCCGACTGTGTTGTTATCGCTTGTGTTATCGCCGGCTATGAAGTGTGCTATCGCCGGCTGTGAAGTGTGATATCGGCGGCTCCAAAATAGAAGGAGTGATGTCGCGCATGTCAGAAGAAGAAGAGAGAGCACACGGCGATGTGCGCATGGCAATAGGAGAAAGAAGAAGAGAGAGAGCGCGGTGAAAGAAAGAGAAAGAGCGCCACGTGTGAAGTGTGCTTCTGCCGGCTGTGTATAGAGAGAAGGCCAACGCCGTCTGTGAATGAAGAGGCTATGCCGGGAGTGTATGGAAAGAAGAAATTTCACACATGACAGTGAGATGGAGCAATTGGAGTGGCACCGGCTGTGTTTCGCTGTGTGTGCAGCGCCCGTTGTGTAGCGTCGGTTGTGTCACTGACGTACATGTATTTATGGTGCCACTTGTTGAGTGCATGCTGCTTGAGTGCAACTTGTCCAGATTTTAAAGTCTTTTAGCCCCACTTGGACAGCCACCCCACCCTCATGAGTGCTTAAGCCTCCTCTCTCACCCATGTCACTCACTCTTCCCTCATCTGTTCTGTCTCTCTAAGGCAAAGGTTTTGAAGAAGTGACTGTTGAAGGGCTGCCATTGATGGACAGGTGAGAGCTGTGAGAGGAGGATTGGAGAAGGCACCATTGTTGTTCAAGTAAGTGAATCCATCACCATTGAATTATAGTCATTAGGATGCATGAGTTTGATGCTTGTGAGATGAGTAATGAATGTGTGAGTGATGTGGAAATTCCTTATGCATTGTTCATTGAAATTTGGGGTTTTTATTCTATAATGGATGTGGATGCCGAGAATGAATGCATGATTCTTATATTATGTAAGAAATGCATGTTATGTATGTACATAGTGAGAGGATGGTTGTTATCATGTCCTTTACCATGGAATAAAGGTTATGGAATGTGTTCTTGAAACATGTCTTATGCCACTGTGAAATTCCAGAAATATGTATATTCTTGAACAGCCAAATGAGGTTCGATTGACCTA